GTAATACCAGATATTATTATTTATTAATATTTATGATTTTTCATTTATTACTTTAGTACGAATACCACTTGCATCAGTCTATGATAATTTTTAGAACGCCTAAATCGACCATGCCTATAATATGTTCATATTTTTCATAATGTTACGTATAATAATCGAATACGCAAATGCACATAATATTATTATTCATTATATAGAAGGCTGCAGTTTTTTTCATTACTGATGCAAATGAAGCGACAAAGTATATAATTTTATCCCAGATATTTTTTTATTTTTTTACTTTAGTACTTTATTTTATTGTCCGTGTTGTACATCAAACTAGTAAAGTAATATAACTTGATGCATTTGACAACTCGAGTTCGTCGTTCCATCACGTCATATTGTGTATATATGAAAAAAAATTTAAATCCATTTCAATTTTTGATTGTTATCGACGATGAAAATTATTGCTGCATAGAAATATTTTTAAAAATTAAATTTCATAGTATATATCATAGTGAAATGCAATCTTTTATACAGGATCATCGACAGAACCCACGTAGGAGCGGTGCACAAACAATAGAACACCCGCGTAGCTATTCTCAAAAATCTAAGTAATTATATTATAATGTATAATATATGTATTAAACTTATCCTGTGAATCATAGTCGTAGATTTGTCTGTTCGAAAATCGTTTTAAATTTGAAGCCCGCTAATTTATGTGGTTCTCTTGTAAGATTTTTAGAGATATTTTTTAATTTGTAGCGTACTTGCTTACACAGTTTTATTAAAAAATATTTTCTCGTGTTTCTAGCAGCAGCACTACGCATATACTTAGTTATAATAGAGTGTAAATAAAAACGATGATAAATTCCATTAATCGAAGTATGTGAATAATACGCGTCTAAGAAACTTTAATAGACACTTAAATGAAAAAAATATCCACAAACGAGATCTACACGCCGATTTGAGCATGGGATATCAAACTATACGTGTATTAATGTATATGTATATTGTATATATATATATATAAATGCGTTTACGCCACACAACTTCCTTAACCACTACATTAGGTATACATATTTATAATACGCATATTAACTGAAAACGCGTAGCTGCTAATTTACATTTATTATTGTATACGTATAGTATACATGTATACAGGAACGCAGTAATAAAATCGACAATATTTTTTAACCGTTATACTATATATTATACGAAATGGACATTTTTCGCTAAATACAATAATAATAATATATACTTACTCTTATAAATAAATGATGCGTTTCAAACGGATAATAACGATTGGAGTATTTTTGGGGTATTTTTTGAAGGTATTTTTTATATATATATATATATATTTATATATTCTTCCCGTATGGGTGGCGCGTATTATTGTTGTATCTCCGGTTATTTTGTATTATATGACTATTATACCTAACCTACCTACCTGCCTGTAGCTTTTGAACTGCACACCGTGAAATATAGTGTTGTGTTTTTGGCAAAGAGACGGATTGCGGGCATTGTGTAAAAATGCGAAACACAAAATTCATCAAACCTTTTTCGGCGCTCGTTCTCGCACACACCCACACACGCACGTACGCATGCACAATAGTACATAAGGACGACGTTTTCGTTGTTAATAAACGATGGGTCTCAGTTCATCAAACGATGTATAGTATAGGTGCAGGGCCAGTGCACCAGCGTATTGCCGGTTTGATCCGGGGCACAGTGTTCACTGAAAATGTTCTCCGACAAACCAGTTTGCGTTCAAATAAATCTCGTCTCCATTTTCCCGATTGCCGACGAGACCCGTAGTGAATTAATTACCGAATAAAACATCGTCCTCTCCCTTCGTGGCTATTTCGATATGAAAAAAAACACACCATATCACAACCACCTTTTCTCGGAACAGCCTTTCATCGTTGCGACGATCAATATCGTTTTGGTACAGTTGACTTTCGTGATCTCGAATAATACATAATATAGTAATAGTATATAGGCACGTTTGACGAGTTACACTCGTATTATATTATATAAATCATCGCAATATTAGTACGCCAGACGGGTCACGAATAAACTTAGTAGGTATTGTTATTACGCGCTTGTTGTGTGTACTACGACCTGTACAGTTGTTATTACAAGACGCCAGACGTGATCTTCAAGTGTTGAAGTGGTGTACGTGTATACGCGTCTAATTAGTGCGTTTGTGTTTGCTAAAAATTGATAAAATGGCCAGGGAGTAAATTTTAATTCGACATAAGTATAGAAAAATACGGCTCGTGCGCCGTGTTGCGCAAACTACTATAATACCATTATATATTTTGTTATTTTAGTGTTTACGGTTCCTTAAATGACCCATCGGTATGGTTTCGCTAAACATTTTTTGACGAGTGTACTAAATTTATCAAATTTTTACTTAACCCGAGGCATACGTGTGTGCAGATTAATCTAATTATGTCTGTTTAAATTTGCATATTTTATTTACAAACATATAGGTAGTCGAAGAATAATTTATAGTCTAACATATTTTGACATATCCACAAGTGTTACTAAGGACTATAAATCATTATGTTCACTATAACTGTGCATACTGAAAAACGATATAGGTTAATACAAACCATTCCCCGATACGAAATAATTATAAACACAATCCAATGCGTATAATAATGTAAGACATAACTATATTTACCGGCCTTATGGATGTGTGTATAACTGTTTAAGATGGTATGTATACTTAAGACGTGAAAAATATATTTTCCGAATAATGTATTAGTAGTCCTGCGTGCTACAGGTTCGGTACTCGTTGTTAAAAACCAAAATAATTTATGAAATCATTACTCATAGTCGTCATTACGGATGGTTATAAATCTCTGCCCAGTGTATATTATATAAATATTATTATAGTGACTCAATGCGGCGGCGTCGGCGTCGGTGGCGAATATAACATATGGACTCCTAGCAGCCCGTGTCTGCCGGTAGAGTGTTTAGCGTATGTACATAACAGTCTCCGATATCGTTTTGTAGGCGACGTACGAAAAGATAATTTAGTGCGTTGAAAAGAAACGCGATTAGTGCGGGCACTGCAGCAAGATGAGACCCGTTTCGGGTCCAGACTTGACCTCCGCGCCCCGGTCACGTACCGCACGCGTCTGTAATATTCCCACGTCACTCGTTGCGATAATTTATCATAAAACTTAATGACCGACAAGGGGTTCAATCGTGCAATTGACGAGTTGGATGCAGGAAGGGGAGGTCGACACTTCAAACTCAGCCTTAATCTAAATATGCGGTTGAGTTTAACCCCCACACGACCGTGTGTGGTGAACTAATTCGTCCACTCATTATATCATGTATTATAGTTCCACGAAGAATCATTAAGCGCATATCCCCAGTCCAACCACATCATCTACAATATGAAATATCCAAAAAAAAAAAAAAAATGTCAAATAATGTATGGTAAAATTATTATAAGAATTAAACTTGTAATCGAGCTGAAAAGATCTACTGCTATAACTCAAAAAGATAAAAAGAATACCCTAAAAATGTTTAATAAAACCAGAAATTAAATGTTTTTTTTTCAAGACTGATTATTACTGATATTTAAATAACCCTGAATATGAATTTTTTCAAACCAAAACTAAAAATAAATTTAAAAATACACAATAACATATTGTGTACCTAAATACATATATATCATCATATTATATTGTTATAATTGTATATATTGTTTTGTTTTAAACGTATTTCGCAATCAAAATTTCTTAGGATTCATCGGAACATAATTTAATCTTGTCAAGCTATCGGCTAGTTGAATTCAGTCTCAAAAGTTTGAAGTTATATTTAATACATTTGTAGTTCAAATAGTTCAATGTTATTACAGTATTTTTGAAAATTCAAATTTTTTAATAAAATCTCATGAATTTATAATTTTCGAAAACCGGTATTTATTTTGATAATTTTGTTAACTTCTCGGTGTTTAACGGGTTTAACATATACAATAATAGCGTTCTATCTGGACGAAATATTCTGCACGGCATTATAGTTTAAAATCCAGATCACGCGTTGTATTCCGCGAGATCAATAAAAAAAAAATAGTCGTCGCGATGGCGCGATGCTATATAATCCAAATAAATTAAAAAAATTTCCATCTGATCTGCCATTGCCGAGACCTAAAGCACAGATCTGTATTATATATATAAATTGAGAACTCTCGCGACGTTCTATTATTTATGCGCATACGTTTATTAAAGTATAATAATTATAGATAAGTATTTGTATTTTACGCATAACACATGCTATGATTAATATTTAACATATTATTGTAATGCAGCAGCAGCCGATTTCGTGTAAAGTATTTAAGTAGTATGTGTAAGTGTATAATAATCACATATTATAATCGTTCGCGTTTTATTTTCAGTCCATCGGACCAAAGTTTACCATACCCATTTATATTGATTATCTTTATAATCTTAATTCTCGGCTCGATTTCACGAGACAACGACGGCGTCGTAGTGATTGAGGTCGTATTTAATATTCATTATTATACTACATATTATATAGGTGTTTAAATCTTAAATTTTCACAACTAGTATTTGCTCAAAAATCGAAATAACCGTAAAACGTATGATAATATTATAAATGTGATTTTAGTTTGATAAACCGAAAAATACCAAATATTTTTTAAATTACAATCGTCGTCAGTTGCTTATTGTTTAAAAAAATAGAATTTTCGACAGGCTCGCGCATACCCTGCTTTACCCAGTAACTACTACTGTACTTTTATAAGACCAATCTTACCTAAAGATATGTCCCATATGGCGATAGAATAATTATGAGTCTATATATCCATAATTCGAATGAATAATTAATACAATTACAATCCAAATATCGTCTTTTTTAATCGATTTTATTTTTATAATCGATGAAAACGAGATTTGATAACATTTTCGTATATCTTTTATATTTCAAACAAAATTTTGATGGTTTATGTTTTATTTTTTTTTTTTTTAATTTTACAGACGCATCCTGTTCAAACGAGGCTGTGCATTTACAACAACGGTTGCGAAGTCTAAGCACCGAGTTGGTCACACTCCGGAACAGTTTGAACCAGGGTCAAGGAGCGACGGCGGCGCACGGTGGCCAGGGTTGTCCTCAACCGGCTGCTATCAAACAATCTACCGGATCGAATTTCCCCGGAAACAACAATAACAACAGCAACAGCAACAACAACAACACCATACTGGCCGCCGGTAAGTCCGCATCTAGCAGCCCATCGAAGTCTACGTTACCACCTCCAGTGTTGCCGAGGACTTCGTTGCCCACTTTACCCGTTTCAGGTACTATATTCAACGATAAATTGTGACCGAATTTGTGCCAAACACGTCGTAATAATAACTAAATTTTCATAATATAAATTATAGTGAACCCTTTCGCAAAATAAACTTGTAAAAAGTCTTGTATATCATATTACGAACGGTGATATTCGATATTCTATATGTTATTACTTATTATATATTATACGCATGCCACGCGTCGTATGTATGTGCTTTTACAGTTTTACGACATTCGAGGTTCTTAAAATTCAAATAAATTTAAAGTATATTATATTGTATTGTATACATATTATATTATTGTTATTATTTGTGGCCGTCAAAAAGTGTGTATATTAGGATAATAATACTTAAATATGGCGAATACATGATTTTTTATATAATTTGACACGTGTATTATGTTCCTATGGATTCGAAAAAATATGTTGTAGACATATTACAAAAATTTAAAACCTATTATCGTTTATTAAAAATGTCGTATAAAACACATAGATCGAGGTTTGTGTATAAAATAATATCCATTCTCCCTGTAACATAATCATTACAACATGTTTAAAAAAATAAAAACCCATTTTGAATTATTACTAGACTAAAATTTATACAATTTATTAACCAAAATCGTCGTGTCTATTACGTACTTGTAACGTCTTTTGAACGTTAGCATAAACCACATTATTTTCATCATTATTAAAAATTAAAAGCCAAGAACAGTAAAGTTGTCATCATTGTAGGATTGGCTTTTCATATTTCCATTGCACACAATACTTATGTCTTGTATGACGTATTCGATAGAATATATTATATGAATCGATTATAATAAAATTTTTTCCCGAATCCCTGACCTGTATCCGATACCGTACCGTCGTTCTTAAAATACCTATGATGGCATGATGCGATATAAACACTACGTGTTTAATAGCGATTTGAGTACGTAATAATATCGGTAATCACTCCATCAACCAAAAATCGGACGTAATAATATTATATCCTATTAATGCGAACCATCCATCTCGCGCGTGTATAATAATATATCCATTAAATGTAGGTATATACATAGCAACATGCATTATGTTAAACGTATATAGTCATAATTATACCTTTGGTGAAATTAATTTCCTCGTATTCAACGACAACAACTGCAATAATATAAATTATAATTATAATTATTATTTTATTTATTTTGTAACGTAATGATCATCAGCTGGTGCTTTTATTATTTGGTAATGGTACGTCGTCATATACGATGGGAACAATTTGGTTGTATAGTATAATAACTGTAGAGTTGTGAGCTGCAAAGTAATAATTAAAAGTATAATCGCATCCTGCAGAAGAACACTTAGGTATGGTTTAATGATTGTAGTAGTTCCTACATAGCTACAGTGGTGGCGGTGTATTGTACGAGTATAATAATATTGGATATATTATAAAGTTCGCACGAATACGGTTCGTTAGGTTTTCCTGGTATGTAATCGTATGTTAACGGTGCAATATAGGCATTAGGCGTGTACGTTGTAGTACCTACTATACCTATAACTTATCGGACAACAAGCGACGAATTTAATAATTTAATATTACTCTAGAGGTATCTAGTTGAATAATAGATTTATTATTCAACGAGTTACGACGAAATCATCATTATTCGTGTTGTATTATAATAATATGTAAATTATTAAGTACCTATACATATAGAAAATTATTCGGTTTCCAGAGTGAAAAATGGTAGTACAATTTGTCAAATTTTTATAGTTCAAAAAATAACGAGCACGTCATTAATCATTATTCTTTATTATCATATAATAACTTAACACACGTATTTTCAAAATAAATAAATGTTGACTTTTTGGAGAACCATTTCATGTTTAACAAAAGATCATAATATCGTGATTCCTTTCACGTAAAGCTGTTTATATTGGTGTCTAAACGTGTTTCGACTTTAGGTATCTTGTAGTTTTAATCATATTATAAGACGTATATTAATTATACCTGTTGATTTTATATACTATTAGTTGATTTTAATTTTTTTTTTTTTAATACATATATGAAATATTAAAATCATTTATTTCGTGATTTTTAGTTAAAAATACAAGTTACTTAATGAGAACCAAAGTACACTTCTGTGAATTTTCGGAGATTTGACACAATTTAAAAAATATTTAATCATCATACACAAAAAAGTATATAGCATATAAAATAACACTGATTGCCATTTTCAAATAATAAATTATGAAATGTATACTTAAACTATTATACTTACGATGTGTTTTTTTATTGTGCGCAGATAAACTGTTCAAGGGCAAAGAAGAATCGCAAAACGGCGGTCAAGCTGCCACCGCCGTTGCAAAATGTTTAAATGCTACGCCGTCGCCGACTTCGACGACTGCAGTGGCAACGCAGCAAAAGACTGAATCGAATAACCAGCGGACACACCGCCGGTCGTTCCATGGACCGCCGACGCCCGCCGGAAGCGAACCCGGCAGCAATGGGTCGACCGCGAGCGGAGGCGGTGACCTAATCCATCTTCCTGGGCCGTTGACCGAGGATGCTGTGCTCAAGGCACTGCAAAGTCGGTTCTGCGCCACACAAATGTTTGTGAGTACCTACCTATAAATTATTATCATTATTTTCTAAAAATGTCTCAACGTAAATTTATCATTATTATGTAATTCGACCTTTCGACTTACAATTTATGAATAAACTATAAGTTAAAACGATAGACGTATTACAGTTTACAAGTGTCAACCATATAAAATTTAAACTTTAAAACTTCGTTTGGAGTATGAAATCCTAGTGGATTAAAATGGTTGAATTATAATTACAATATTATTAAAAATTCTTATGCTTGGTTTTTATAAGAACAAGAGTATTTAAGAAAGAGCTAGGGTTGTGTCGAATACTGTCATCCCATAATGAGTACTCGAGTCGTCTCAATTTCTAATTAAAAAATCGTCGCAGGGATTGTACACAGCAGTTTTTATACAATCTGCATGTGCACAGTATTACGCCAAGCAACGTTTCTCTCACATAATATGAATAGTATATTATCATTTAAACCTGATAAAACGCGCGCTCCGTATACATTGCACCGTACATATATTGTGTACCTTGAACCTCAAGACCTCAAATCTCTCGGCCCATGGGAACTGATCTGGCACATATATATACAGGTGCACGCGATACTATTATGTACACCGTGAACCAGGGGAGACGCCTGTAAATCACTGGAATGCATCGTAAGATTTAACTTTAAATCTTTTTAACACTATCGTACACGACACGTCATACATGAAGTATAATATAACACCATACTATACAATTGTAGCTGTTAAATTCCAATAATTCCATATACTTTTTTTTTTTAATAATAATTTCAACTGTTTTTACATACCACTTTTAAATGTAATAAGTAATAACCAACAAAATTCATATTATAAAAACAGGCAAAATATAAAAATTTATGTCCGCTGTCCGGCCTTTGGTTCGCGATAAATATATATCACTCGCTATAATATACATCACTATTGTAATTATTCACTATTCTCATGTGTATGCTTATTGTACAGATGATGTCTTCACGGTTCATATTGTAACATACATACATATTATAATATGCGTATATTACCTGTGAAGAAATTTTTTTTATTAGGTGTTTAGATCCGGTTGATGGGAGGAGATCACGTGATTTATTTTCATATCTTTTATCGACCGACACTGATCTCTTGCGGGTGGAGATTTCGTGATTTTCGTTTACTCACCTTGTTTACCCCCCGCTGCACGATCTCTTCGTTAGTATATTATACATGGACATAAAGTATATACTATATACTATATAGTGTTTGTAAATTTTAGAGCGAATACATTTTCAAACACGTTATACTTACTATTAAACATTCGTATAGTACATTTGTGAATGAGCATATTTTACTGAATCTTATTTTATTATCCGAACTTTATTAATTCCTTAGATTCGGCTTAAAAATACGATTAGCTGAACACCAATATTAATACAGATTATGAATATTACGTATTATATTTTGCTGTTCTCGAAGATAAAAATCTTCGTGTTTCTCCGTCTCTGTGCAGTGTCTTCTCGTACTAACCTCGTCTTAGGACTTAGACTACAACGTGCATAAAATAAATGCAACCAGTTCTATTACACAACCATCAAACTTTTACACAAAATAGATGGATACATTATTATGTCTACATAAATTTATTCCAAGAAATATATTTAATTATTAGATCATTATAAAATTATTTTATATTGTTCACTCGCAGTCATGAGGAAAATATACATAAATAATATCGTATAAGTATAATAAAGCTACTACGTATAATTTCATTGTTGTTATTATATTATTTTTTTGTCTAAAACAATCAAATAATAATAATTAACTAGCGTCGGTCGTTTATTGTGTGAAATCTTCGTACCTCTTACTACCGGCCGTGTGTAATGGAATATGTTTATCGACATTGTCGAATTTCGCAGATGTATTTGCAATTATTATCCTCCTTGCAGTGATGTTTTATGGTGTAAAGGAGACTATTCAAGACACAAACTCCCCTCTTCAAAAAAAAGGTCACTGAAATACAAGAACAGTGATAATGTAAGTAGAACTCCCGTCACGCTATGCAATACAAATATAATTTTGAGCGAGACCGTCTTCGATCAAAAATATACCCTTCTCTTATCGACCAAAACAAAATTTTATGTAATGCATGTAAAAAAATTAAATAATTGATATATCATTTTTTTGTATAATTATATAATTTTGAAAATGATTAAAAATATAAGTTGCATAAAATATTGAAAATAAAATGTGGAAAATTATTTAAAATAAAAGAATATCTTTATATTAACATCATTTTTATGCCAATATGTCACAAACCTACTTATGTGATTTAAATTTTATTTTTGTACATAATATTATACACATTAACATAAAAATAATGTTAATATCTAGATATTCTTATATTTTAAATAATTTTCTATTTTTTATCTTACAACATTTTATGAATTTTATATTTTTAATCATTTTCAAAATTATATAATTATATAATTGCCCTAATTTTACAAAAATTATGTACCAATTATTTTATTTTTTATGTATTATATTATATAAAATTTTGTTTTGGCCGAAAAGAGAAGAGTACGATTTTAGTCGAAAAGGGAATCGACCTATTTTAAATTTTGTCGAAAACGGCCATGTTCATAATTTTTGTATATACATCAAAAAATATGTTTAATAGTTTCATAAATATCTTAAACAAATAATTTTAATATTAATTAAAAAATTAATAAATTAATTTAATACCTGCAGAGAAACGTTGATTTGATAAAGTCTATGTAAAGCGCAATAAAATATTTTTTTCGTATCAGTAAGTTGTATACAAAAACTTATAAGCATTTATTTTAATAAGGGTTTGATGTATCAATAAATGAAAAAATATTGACTGTAGGTACGATCGCAGAAAGAGTGGTAACAAAACGTTTGACGATAATATTAATTATAATAGTTATACCATCTAAACTCTTGAATATGGACGAAGTGTAATTTTTTCGGCGTATTATTTACATAGATCTATATACTTAAGTAGTAAGTACACCTTTGCTTCTACGTTCTGTTTACATACCTAAAGCGTTTTCACCTGCGTACAAAACTACAAAAATAATACAAATGCAGTGTATTGATACGTATATTTGAAATAATGAAAACCATGGCGGCATTATCGTATCGTTTCGACTCGTCGCGTTATTAGTAAAAAAATATGTGTACAAACCTCGTAATGTCATAACATTATTTTATGAGTATAAACATTATGTGTGCACTGTGCGTTTACACAAACACGGTTGTAGGTGGATCTACTATACAATAATATATAGTCATAGAGGTGTTGGTAAATACCGCCTTTAATTATTTTCCAGCGCGCCGCGGTCCATGATCAATAATTTCGTTGTCACACCGAGTGAACTCGTGTATGTTAAATTATTATTATAAGTACATCAAAATCGTACGCGATAACAATAAAATACAGATGTGATGACGATGATGATGATGATGATGATGATGACGAAAACGACGACGATCATGATGGTGGAGGATTTCACTCTATGGTATGGAGTATTCCGTATTTTCGAACGCGTCCGTCGAACCGTCGATATAATAATATAATTATGTGCGCGCCTGGTGCACACGCGATGCTCGCACACGTACCTACACCTTATGCGCGTTAAGTATGTACAGGGTGTGTCAAGGCGTCAACAGATGACGAGGATTCGTCCTTAAAATAACGTGTTTATAGTACTATGTTTCGAGAACCTATAGGTACGCAATCGATAAGCCCACAGTCGATAAAATATATTGGATTGGATTGCATCCGGCAGGCCGTGTCGCCGTCTATCATATGCCTGGGCCTTTCGTCGGCGTAAAAACCACCACTTTCCGAAATTTGATATCTTGAACCACACTGTTTGTCGATACAACTAGGAGGTGATATTTTTCTCGCTTCTTCTATCGCGTAATCGTAAACAGTGTACACGTATCTTATTTGAATCTAATGCAGAATAAAATATTAATTGTTATTCAAAAAAAGTGTCTATAAATGTACCTATGTATAACGGAAATTATCGTTACTCTCAAGAAATCAGCTCAAAGATAAATGATCTTATTTATGGCGTAATAATAATAATAATTCTGAAAAGCGGAAAAAATATACCAATTAAAAATTTGTTTTTTAAAAGCTGTACCTACATATAATACAGCACAGCAATACATAGTTTAGGTGATAAATAGATAACAAAAATATTTTAAATAAAAGAAAGACAAAATATACATGAGTATCTGTATACCTACAAATGAATAAAATTAATTATTTAAAAATATTTATTTTACATTTCTTAATATATGCACTATAAAATCTCTTGATGAATTATTAAATAAAAATCAATTTTTTGTACAATGTTACTAATATATATCTATCTATTCGAGGGAAAATTTAACATGTAATACGTATTAGCATTTTTATATATCCGTAAATTGAGATCAAAATATTTAGATCGTTGAAAACACATGCAGATATCGTACGCATCAATTGATAGAGTAATAATAATTACTTTATTCCATGTTTGATGGTAACAAATTGGAGTTCCGCGTCGATTGATTTAAAAATATTTATTTATTATTTTATGATTATATATAACAAAGTAGTAACATAAGTAAATATTTTGGTAATTTAATAATGTGTTTAAATTCAGATCTCTAGTTACATTAATTGACGGTCATATCCGTAAATAGTCGTAGGTATGCAATGAACTTATTATCTTTAAATGAGTTGTTGGGGGGAGAGGTTAGTACATTCTAATCAGTGGCAACGATATACTTGCGCGTTGTGTATATACCATAATATTTAATGTCTGTATACGTACAAGTACGGCGTATACTTATATAATAATAATGACGATAGTAATAAATAATAATATAACCGTCGCTGATTATTATTATTATTATGTATATATATATATATTATATATTTTTTATATATTTATATCGATTTACCTGTGCACGTCGTATACGCACGCCCGGAGGCGACGTCCGATGGATCTTTTGCGACTCTAGTAGGAGGGAGCGGTGGTGACTATACAGTATACATACATATATATTATAATAAAACGATAATTACAATATACATACAGTAAATATAGGATGTGAAATTAAAAACCTAAATCGGGTATACCTGGGCCCGGTGTACACACGCACACATCACACACACACGGCACGTACGAAAGTATATTATATAAGTATATATAGGATCTTGCCCTCGGGACAAAGCTATTAAGCATCGATGTTCAATAAAAAATATTTATATATACACAGTCGGGCTTCAGGGCGGGCTCCTCGAATTCGACGCCGGCGGATTTGACGAGAAACCCCTAATTTGTTCGCCAAGCTGAAACAAATTATTTTACGTACGCGCACGCGCGTGTGTATGTGATACTTACCAAAAAACGACAAAAATAAGAATAATAATCCATGAGAAATTAATTTTACAAACCGATAATAATTTTTTTTAAATATGTACTCAGTACTGCCGTAGTTATAACGAAAACTTACACATATATGTTTATATGAATACATGTCATGACGTATAATAGTAGTTCGTATAGTTAATAATACTTTTTTATTTTTTCATGTGAGGAACATCGAAAGAGGTTTTGTCCGAAACTTTAAGCGGTATAAACACGTATACTTATTAGTTGTCGTGTTAAATAATAACGAATGTATACGTATATATATATTGCATCTATCACAAAAGCGTAAAATTAATCGTTTTTTAGTGAGTTGATTAAATACTTAAAACTAAAATTATAATTGTAATAAAATTACATTCCGTTTTAAATTAATATAGTTTTCTTGGATTTAAAAAAATCTAATAAAATTTTATATTTTATTCGTTGAATGAAAACACGCGAACAACTGACGTTTTTCCGAAACGATCATCAGCACGCGTCGATTACTCGGTCGGCGGAGGATTTGAAATTAATTTTCGTGATTTATTATTGTTGCAGACCAATGTGGGACCTATTCTGTTGTGCATGAACTCGTATAAAGACATCGGCAACCCGATGACGCTCACCAGTATGAGAGGCGCTACACTAGATTTCAAGCTGCACAAGGTAATTCTGGACGCGGTAAGACAGCAGACCGAATCTGGGTATCCACAGGCGATCATACTTTCTGGTTAGTATATTTCATTGTTGCGAGATATTATTGTAATCGTGATATTATTATCAACACTTCACAACCTGTAACTTCACAAAACTTTTGAATACAATTGAAATATAAATAAATATCACATAATATTATACACAGAAGTATTGTTTTATAACGTTATTGTGACGATGAAACTTTCGTTTAAAGGTGTTAGTGGTTCTGGTAAGACGTATGCTTCGATGTTGCTACTGAGACAGTTATTTGACGTAGCCGGAGGTGGCCCTGAAACGGACGCTTTCAAACATCTAGCCGCCGCGTTTACCGTTCTGAGGTCATTGGGATCCGCCAAAACGTCTTCGAATTCGGAATCTAGTCGAATCGTAAGTTGTGATAATTAATATACCATTGTAATAATAAATAACTTTTAGTATACGTTTACCCATTTTCGCGTTTGAATTTTTCTACGATTTTTGAAATTTTTAAGTATATATTTTAAAATACTTTTTTTTTTAGTAGGTATTTAAAAATTGGCTTGTAGTCTACTATTATTATATATTATAGTGTTTAAGAATTATGTGAGACAAAAAGTTTGTTGAAAAGTCATATAATGTATATTATAATAACGGTTGTTTGTGGCGTATATTTTTCCAGGGTCATTTCATCGAAGTACAGGTAACCGATGGTGCTCTATACAGGACTAAGATACACTGTTATTTCTTGGACCAGACTCGGGTGGTACACCCTCTGCCGAATGAAAAAAACTATCATATATTTTACCAAATGTTGGCCGGTCTATCTCAGGAAGAAAGAGGTGGGTCTTGTTATACGAGAGTCTTAATATATTTTAATACGATATATCATTATTACCTTCATAACCTGTTAAAGAATAATATTCATATTGTATTTCACTTTTAGTGAAATTAAACTTGGAAGGGTATTCGCCTTCCAATCTCCAGTACCTGATGCAAGGCGACACCAGACAGGACGAAGCCGAGGACGCTATTAGATTTCAATCGTGGAAATCGTGCTTAGGTAAATGCCTATAATAACATTAGTAACATTAGTATACAAATTTTAAAAACAATATCCGTGATGTTTATCGCACTCATCGAATATTATAATGCGGTTTCTTTTCCTTTCGCAAAGGTCTCCTCGGAATTCCGTTCATGGACGTGGTGAGGGTTTTGGCCGCGGTACTGCTTTTGGGCAACGTCAATTTCGTGGACAACGGTTCTGGCGAGGTGGTGGCTAAAGGCGAAACCGAATTGGCGTCAGTAGCCCGGTTGCTAGGCATCACGTTCCCGTCGCTCTTCCGTGGTATCACCACCAGAACACATTCCGAAACTACTCGGGGGAACACTCAACTGATAAAAACGACTTGCGACGTAAACACAGTAAGTCAATAAAAATAAGGTATCGAATGGCATATAGTTTTATTTTTCGTAATTGAGTGTACGTTATTATATAACGTGCATGAAACGTTCAGAATACACAGATTTAAGAATTTTCAAAATGTTCAAATTTATACTAATAATCGTGGATTTTGTTTACATTTTTTTTTTCTTTTAATTTTAATGTTTCATCTTGTTTAGCAAGATATAATTTATTATAATTTGTAATAAAAAACTTAGAATAAGCTAACTAATTTAATGATAAAACATCAAATTATTGCACTTGGGTAAGTGCAGCTTTTTAATTTTTACATATATATCTTGCTCGCTCTACAGGCAAATTCGATTAGAGACTCTCTGGCCAAGGCATTGTACTGCAGGACTGTGGCGACCATCGTACGCCGAGCAAACAGTCTAAAACGACTGGGTTCAACATTGGGTACGTTGAGCAGTGACTCCAACGATTCAGTTCACAATCAGGCCGAAGTCGCTAGTCAGCATGCATCTACCATCGGCACGGCCGGTTCCAAGTCGAGTAAGTCAATGGCCGCGCTCAACAACGCCGTCAATATCGCTAGGCATGCCACGGACGGGTCCATCGGGATCTTGGACATGTTCGGATTTGAAGAACCAAAAGTACGTAGTGATACTATATCGATACAGTATGTATATAAATATAAACCCCGAATTTTTCCATTGATGAGCATGTCCACATAATACTTGAGATCTCTATATATTGGTAGCCTCACTAAAATGAACAAGTGTCTATTATTAATTAATTAATGTCGTCTTGGAAAATATTGTGAGATTAGGGTTAGAGATTGGGTAATCATGGAAATAAATAAGTTGGTAGTAAATAATTTTATTTTTAGAACTATTAAAATTGGATTTAATATTTTATGTTTGACTTAATATATTTTAGCTAATATAATAACAACCTTAAATTTAAAAACTAATAATTTATTGAATAAAATGGTGTTCAGCTTTTGTGTGACTTATCATCTGTGACTATGCATTAGGTATTCCTTTTCAAACCATCGCATACTAAGGGAACTTTCTAATTAGACGTACACTTAAAATAATAACCACTCTATCGTCTCTATCAATATTTACAGCCAAGTCAACTCGAACACTTGTGTATCAATCTTTGCGCAGAGACGATGCAGCATTTCTACAATACACACATATTCAAATCTAGCATCGAATCCTGTCGCGACGAGGGGATACACTGCGACGTAGAGGTCGATTACGTCGATAACGTTCCATGCATCGATCTTATATCTTCATTGGTGAGTAAACCAATTTTTTTGTATGATTACATTTCCTTTAGCAAACAACTTATCATATTAAAACTGCCCATGTCAAGGAGTTAACATATTAAATTTAATTGAATAGAATTGCACTAACTGAACTTATTTAATTCCCACGTCGGTATAAAAGTAATACAAATAATTTTTCAATTGCCTTAATTAAGTTGAATTTTAAATTTTCATTTGTCTTTATCAAAAAAATATTTAACTAAATTGTTCTTATACAAGTGTAAAGTTTTAAATAGTACACATAATAACATTCAGCAATATATATTATATTATACATTATATAAGTAATTTTCTACTTATTTTTTTTTTTAAAGACAGAAAAAAACCGTCTATTTAACAAAAATTAATCATTAACTCTTCTCCGTTGATGCATAATTTATTATAATTAATAACTTATAGAATATATTAATACATAATAAATTGTAATACCTGTCCAATTGTACCACGTTAATAACTAATTATTACTGGTGGGTTTTATTTTTTTTTTTACAGAGAACCGGATTGTTAAGTATGTTGGACGTTGAGTGTTCCATCAACGGATCCGTAGAACTGTACTTGAGAAAAGTGAAATCTCAGCACAGAAACAACCCAAGACTTTTTGAACCCAAGTCAGTGGAACAGAGATCATTTGGCATTCAACATTTCGCCGGCAGGGTTGTGTATGATGCTTCGGATTTCCTAGGTATAGATCGAGTGGATACATAACGATAACGTCATAATTTTATTATTGTCATATACATAATACGTAAATAATTAGAAAAAAATAAACCTTATCCTCCCCGATAAAACTATAGACATTTTTCGCCCATATCAAATTATGTTTAATTTAAAATTTAAATTAATGCTTCAGATTCTCCCCAAATCTGTATAAAACTAAATTCAATCGTAAGACTTTAAATATACATAATAGCTGTGAATTATGGTGTGTAATAATGCTATTTAATTCGACTTCGAAACCTTTTAATAGGTAGTTGCTATGCATTATAAGTGTATTTGTGTAAGTACTAAGTAACAACAATTTATGTAAAACCTAAAATTGAAATCAATCTTAGAAATAGTTGAAGGTCCAATTACTAGATCACGTAACGATCTGACGAATTCATGTTTTGTAATTGTGATTTCAGAAACCAACAAAGACGTGGTGCCCGATGATTTAGTGTCCGTTTTTCACAAGCAATCGTGTTCGTTTGGTTTTGCCACGCATCTGTTTGGTAGTGAACTGAAAGCATTGTATAGCATAGAAACAGTACCAAGAGGGATAAAGTTTCGAATATCGCCGACTTCGCATTCCGATCTGTAAGTCAAATATGATATCGCAATTCTACTTCATAAATTAGTGTTTAAATTCAGTAGCTTATATTAAATTATATTTCGGTCAAAATGATAAATTACTTATTGGTTATTACCCACGATATTGATTATACACAAAATACACTACATATTTAACAAAATGTATTGCGCCGACGAACGATATTGCTCGTTTGTCCGACAGATATCACTAGTGAATAAGAAAATGTGATAGTTTCAGATTCAAGAATACCTGTAATTTTTTATATTACACGAATACGGAATACACAAATTAGTTAACTTTTCGTATAGCCACTTGTTTTTTTAGGGAGAAAATAACTTCTTCTCCCCCACCCCTACTACTAAATAATAATAAAAATGTTAAATTATTTTCTTATTGAAATTGTACAATCGAACATAATCATTAATTGTTTCCAGTTTGAACGGCAACGAACCCGTGTCTACGTTAACTCAAGATTTCCACACGCGGCTAGACAACTTGCTGAGATCACTGGTGCACGCTCGACCACATTTCGTGCGTTGCATTAAGGCGAACTCAACCGAAACCCCGGACAGGTTCGACAGGGCAGTAGTTATGCGACAGATACGGTCATTACAAGTTTTGGAAACAGTCAATCTGATGGCAGGAGGTAAGTCGACAATAATACACTATAACAACTACATTGTACCGATTATCGACTTAAATATGTACAATTACAACAATTTTTTTTTTTTATTAGGTTATCCTCATCGAATGCGGTACAAGGCGTTCAACTTGAGGTACAAAATGCTGGCACCATTCAACAAACTCTTGCGATCTGACGATCGGGCGACCGAAGACTGTCATCTGATATTGCAATGCATCGAGGAAAATATTGATACGAAACAGAGCGAAGTGAGCATGAGTTGGGCTTTTGGCAAGAGACATGTCTTCCTGAGGTGAATATTTGCTATATTAATTTTTTACATAGGTACATGCAACCTATGTTACCTTGTAAACGATAGCTTTATTTTTTATGAATTAAATCGTTTATTTCAAATTCCAAAATATAAACATAAATTAAATAAAAATTAAATCTAAAATTAAAAAAAAAAAATGCAATTAATATTACCAAAATTTTAATTAATTATTTAATAAGCAACTGTGCTTGAATCTTTAACATGATTGGTTTTAAATAGATTTTATATTTAGTATGGTTGCACTTAAATCTGCTTCGACATTCAATTTAGACCAATATGTATTTTTTATTATCACTCAAGTTAAAAATGCTGTATAAATAGTTGAAGCAAAATAAAGAAAGAGGAGCTGTACTATCTGTGCCTAATGCCACACACACTAACCACGAAATTTCATTCATTGCTTAAAAAATTGTTTATAAGAAGAAAAATATCATTACCAGCTATACGTTCTTCTAATGCCGACGACACACTTATGTAATTGTTCATGTTTCAGTGAGGGCGTAAGGCAACATTTAGAAAAACTCCGGTGGCAGACTCATCATAATGCAGCCGTACTGATACAGTGCACGTGGAGGAGCTGGAGGACCAGAAGAAAATGGCCGGGTACTAAACGAGTCATGATGCAAATACAACAAGTGTCTAACCCGATTGTACAATGTAAGTGTGTCTATTGAGCCTTGAATATATTTAAGTACCTATAATTTAATAGCATGCCTTTAAGGATATCCTTGTCATCATTTTTTAATATCTATATTAATATTATTTAAGAATCGATACAGCTGTAGCTATATATACGACTCCAGAACTGTAGTTTAACTATAATCATTGGAGACTATACTAATTTTATGTTAAAACAATGTCATTATTTCTGATATATATTATATATAGGGCATAATAGAATACCATAACTTTTAATACACATTGCTTATATCTTTTAGAGTTTGAACTACATACTATTATTATAACCGTATTACGTTTAATATTATTATGATTAGGTGTTCGCATGCACACGATATCTTAATTTTTTATTGTCTCCAGTTAGTTACTCATATAACTTATAAGTTATTAACGTACGCTCATTTTTAAACTTACCTAATGTTATTATTTAATCTATATTATAGGTCTCAACAACAAAATGGGTATGGGTGGAAGGAAAATGACTTCTAGTAGCCAAGTTCCGAACGCCGGAGTTACCAACAGTGGCACAGCAACTTTGACTAGACCCAGGCCACAACCTATAACGGGAACCCCTCCTCCTGACCAGATTGAGAAGTTTGATCAAAAAATAATACAGACTTGTAACCTATTTGGATTGAATCTGGTAAATATTTTTAAAAAATTTTACAAGAATTGTTAAGAATTTTAAATTACGATTATATTTAAGCATTATCATTAATATTTCTCTTTGAAACGAGTATATACTCGTAGCTTTTGAAATGTATTTTATATTGTATTTATACTTTATAGTATTAATTTGTTAATTTTTTTAAATTCACTTTAAACCAATTATAGACTAAATAGGTAAATAAGTAGTTAATAAATTTTACTGACGCATTTTTTCGTTTAAATTTAATAAGTTTTGAATACATTTTAACATCAATTAAAAGTAATAACATACACAGTATACACAATTAATTTTAGATAAATTGCTTTCAAATTATTTACTTTATTCGTCTCTTAAATAGTAACTGTTTTACTTTCATATCATCAAGTTAAAAAAAAATAAACAGAATTAGAGTATATTAATTTTCATCAATCTTCATCTAAAATGACAAAAACTAACCTGAATAGATGGTTAAAAACTGAAATATAATTTCATAACTTTCAAAATCAGTATTTATATGTAATTATAACTAACTATAATAAAACAGACAATTGATAGTTATAATCATATTGTAGATGACATTTTATAACGTAACTATTTTTATTTTCCAGGAAAGACCTCCGCCATTACCTCCTAGTCGATCTTACACGATATCTGGTAACACGAAAATGGGATATCCGCAAAGTCGTATCATGAAAAAATCTTTTCCTGGTATTTATTTTGAATCTTACAATAGTCTGTAATTCGATATCTAATATATTATATTGTAACGTTTCGATTTTCAGAAGAAGGAAATTGTGACGTTGCACTGATGAAAGGTGACTCTGTGATAGTGGTGGGTACATCCAACAGGAGAGGACACCTGCTTGTCGAGCACTGTAATAGAAGCTTGGACGTGCCATTCCAATTTTTAGAACTGAAACCGAGACCCGTTGCCATCTAACATCATTTTTTCCTTTAATCCAGATATTGATGCTCAAACACGAAACTTATGATCAAACGTTAGTTTATAATCACCTCATGTATTATATAAATATTAATTGTTGAACTTCTAGTGTAAAAAATTATATATACGCTGCCGAAAAAAATGCTTATCCTAATAATATAACTGTTAACTAACTGTACTATATATATATATATAAAAAATACATTCTAGTACAAATTGATATTTTTCATACCTGTCATTCGAAATATAATTTTATATCTAAGTAATATATATTTATCATAATCTGTCATTATAAGTATTTTAAGTTTTAATTGTCTTTAAAGTATTTATTTAATAGAAATTAACTATACGATGTAATAAATTATTGTTTTATTGTTTTATATTATTAAATTATCATCATCATACTTCTAATTGTGCCAATATTATATGCTATGAATATATATCAAGATGAAGTTTTAAATTTTTTGTATCAAAATTCTAATTTTAATTCACAGCTTATTTATCGTAATGTGATCTTATTATTTTTTTTTTATATAGAGTGATAATAATAAGAGACCTAAGACGTTACCGTGAAATATATTACCTAATTTCCTCTCAAGCTCGCCAAAACGTCAATACATTACGTTTTCGATGTTTATAAGTAATTGAAATAATACTATTTAGTGTTAATTCAATTATTACAGATTAATAATTAGGAGGTATGTACAAATAAATAACTTTGAATGTTGTTATATTTTTTAAAATGAATTAATTTGCCTATAAGAATATTTTGTGTAATGTGCTTCCGAAAAAAATCTGAATTTTTGGCAGCAACTCTCTTCCCTCACCATAATTCCTCAACCAATTCTATTATATGACAAAATGATAAAGTGAATATTACTCGACAGAATAATGATACGATGCGTTCATATACCTTTTCTTTTTCGTCAATATGTAATGTTTATTTGAATGATGCTTTCCGGTTTCTGGCGTGTAGATAATAATAATATATCTAATCGTCAAACTTACCGCTAGATTGATAAACTGAGTTGATGCGCCAATAGTGTAACATAATGTTCCTACCACTGAAGTCGATGCCCAATAAATGATATAATATAAATAAGTGAATTGGAAAAAAATAAATGAAGACAATTTTAAAATATTTGAATTATATTAAATATGTTTACGTTTTATTACGATTCATAGATCATTTATATGACGTCTAAAACCGCGGCCTAATTATTGAGTACGTATGTAAGTTAGATATTTTTCCTCTGATTGGTGATCTTTCATCACCCCCCCTCATAGAAAGGTTTTTCAAGTTTATTCCACTAGGTGAAAGGTGCGGACTGGGTAATGAGGAGCCAGGAAAGTTAATCAACTAGACCTATTATTATCACTATTCAATTAATAAATATTTTAATTAATAATGCTCAATTCATTTTCATTTATTTTCAGATGAATGGTGTTTTACTATTATATTTTAATATTACATTTTATGCAAATATATATAACATTTTCATTAATATTATGACACGATCGAGGGCCCAAGACTCGGGAGGCGATTGCCCGTTTGCATCCCTGGTCAGTCCACACCTGCTAGATAGTTACAATCAAAATTGGTATATTGTGTATTTAACAATCACTTACGTATGATGTAAATAGGGAATGATAAACTCCTACAAATGTAATGTAATCTCCTGCAAAAACATAGTGTTAACTCCTATAAAAGATGTTAAAAAATTATATCGCTCGTACTTTTGTAAAATAGCACAATTTAATGCAAGAATAGCACTCAACAGGAAGTGGACAGGGTCACCGAGCGAATCCTGTGAATAATAGTGTGAAAAAAATATATTAGGTAATGAATTATATGAACATATAATATTATAGTATATAACATGGATATAACTTAGCTTTCAAGAATACAGCGTATAAACATGCTCTATTCAAGTGTTTATATACTTATTATTTTCAAGTTATGATCATTTTTAACTTTTTGAGCTTTTCAACTCAAAAATCGTGAATTTAAATAATATTACCCTATTTTTTTCAGGTAAAAATGTCCATGTAGGAGATTACAGTATCTTTAATTTACAGGTAACAATGTAAAAAGGTTATTGGTGTAGGAGTTTACATTTAATGATGATTCAGGTAAAAATGTTATCCTTGTAGGAGTTTACATTTGGTCATGTAAACCGCCTCCTCAAACTTCGATTAACGTACAAATATTATTTTGGCGCTGGTATGTCGTTAAAGATGCCTACATCGAACCCCTAAAAAAATTTTTTTCAGTTTAATAATACAAAGAAAAAAATTATTTATTTTTTTTCGTGCTCCTCCGTGAATTGAATAGCTTAACGTTCAATAGACAGACACGCATTTACATAATATTATATATATATGGAACGATCCAATATAATAATTGCGTAGAATTATTTTAGATTCTTAGCGTGGTAATAAATGTATTGATTTTACATTGAAGTGTGTAGGATTTTATGTCTGAGTACACGATAGGTAGTAAATAAAATACATCGATTTTCAATTTGAGACTGGTTTTAGATAACAAGTTAGACCTAGTTTGTACTTTAAAGAAGTCTAAATTAAAAATTCCTAATATTTTTCAAAGTAACCGAGAAAACTAGAAAATTAAGGGAAAATGGAAATGTTTAAGCAAAATTAGTTTTTAACAAAATCGAATTTTCGTTGTAAAAAAAACGAATATTCGTAAATATCTGAAATTTTCATCAAATATTTATATACTTCAATTCTTTTATAACTATTTATAGTCATGAGAAACTACATTTTTTCTGATTTTTTTTTTTAGATTCCGATAAAAAAAATAAGAATGGGTATAAATGTTTGAAAATACAATATAAGGTTAATTCTCCAATTAAAAAATACCAAATATTTGTAATCACAGTATTTATTTATAAGTATTTAAAGTTATAATTTTGACAAAATTCATCAAATACCGTAAATTACAATTTTGTCATTAGAAATTCATAAACATTTTTCTGTTTATACATGATTCTGAAATTTAATTTAAGGTTCTTTATAAATGTATTGCTACTTGTTAGTAAATATTTTTACCGGAAAGTTCAATTAATTTTATGACCATTTGAAATTCAATTTTTTTTTTTTCATTAGATACTCAATTGTATAAATTACTATTTCTCCTAAAATAATTTTTTATTTTTTGGAATTCAAATATTTTGTACTAATATCGTATAAAATCTTCAATTTTCAATTTTTCATCAACTTAACGTAATACTAAAAGTAAAATGAATTACTTAACTAAGTAACAAAAAAAATATATCATAGTTGTATAAACTGATTGATCGTCTCCGCTCAAAATCGTTTTTCATACTTCGAGAGTTAATTACAATCACACCTTATGTATAGTTGAGCGGTACCCACTTCCTTAATTTTTTAGTATTATTCATATACGTATAGTTTTATGGAAATATCGTATTATTTTTGTCCACGTAACGGAGACGTTAACGGTAAATTACCAAAATTATTTTCGGCTATTTATTTGGTAGTGCAAATGCAAATTATAAACCGAACTTTCTTTAAGGTCGGGGCTATACTCTGCGTATTCCGCAGCGGTTTCCGTTGTATTCAAGATTCATTGTATATTATTGAAGTAGCTATACTCGAAAAATGTAATACGCCGCGTTTTCATCAACGGCGGAAAATTCCGGTCGGCTTGCGTTTTGGCGGACGAACGCCGAAATAATAAAAACGCAAAACCCTAATTTTACATTGTTTTAAATTAGGATGGGCTAAATCGGTGACGGAAAACGTCACGCTTATATAATAATTATATTCAATATTTAATTTAACGATATTCAATATTTTATCTCATTACTTTAATTACCTACTCAATAAATAATATAAATAAATAATAAATAGATTTATACTATTCAAATACGGTAGTGCAATATTTATATCATTGATACGATAATAATAATAATAATCATTGGTACAATAATTATGGAGCTTACTATTATTTTAGATATATACGGCGGAATACGATCGACGGATACGCTTTGTATAGCCCCAGCTTAATGGTCCCTAATATAAAATTTTCTAAAGTATTCTTATGTACCCAGCGGTTTTTTATTTATTTATTTATTTTAATAAGCAGCACTTTTGTATGTATTTTTTATACTCGCGTAATAATGATACACAACAAAATATATTACAACTTGTTTTTATAATTTCACTATTTATATTTAAGGTGACTAAAGCAGGTCAAAAAAAAATATTTAAAACAACCAAAAAGTCTGACAATAGTGTGAAGCTTGTGTTTGGTGAATTATAATATATAAAACAGATTTAAATTTACATTCTAGTTTTCTAGGTTTCGATCAAAGGGATTTTTGATATTTGAAAAATAATTTTAAACTCTAGAGACACCTGTTTTTTGAATTAAAAAAAAATAATAACTATTTTAAATTTACAATGAAGTGAATGCATTGATTTTACAATAATTTGTATTAATATTTTTTGGAATACTAAAAATACTTTAATTTTAGATTTCAGTACTTTTCAAAATAATAGGTTTAAAAAAAAAAATAGATAGAAAAAAATAAGAATTTTTACGCTGAATAAGTTTTGATAAAATCATTTTTATTAAATTGATTATAAAATTGAATATATAAATTTTTACTTTGTTTGTATAAAAATTATAAATAGGTACAAAATTTAATTTATACAAATTATTTTTATTTTTTCGAGTAATTAGTAAATTTTGAAATTTTTTTTACATTTTTTTGCATAAATGTCATTAAACAAATTGTGTTTGGTCAAAAAAGCTCAAAACGCTTGAAAATTTCATGCACATTTTTTCATGAATTGCTATAGCCTATAATTAGTAATTAAAAATAAAATATATACATATATTACTGATAAAATAATCTGTTTCAATTTAATAAAATAGGTAAGTCATTTCAATAAAATGTTTTGATTATATAAACTGAAATTATTATTGTTGTATTAAAAAAATAATATGGAAATTGTAAATATATTTAGATTGTATCTGAGTATTGAAGAAATAATTAGTATATTTAATAGATTTTCTTATTTAGTTTATTTAGTATATATTTTCAAATCTTATTAAATATAAATAAATATAAATTAAACTGGTAAAACAATGTAGTTA